GAGAGAGAGAGAGAGAGAGAGAGAGAGAGAGAGAGAGAGAGAGAGAGAGAGAGAGAGAGACATAGAGAGAGAGAGAGAGAGAGTAAGAATACTTTTCATTTAAATACATAACTTTGATATATCATATACACATAAATCCAATTTACGCTCTCACAAGTTACCACACATTAACCTCTTACAAACACAGACAAGAAATCATTACATAACTAAGTAAGCATCATCTTTGATTACCTATATATCTAATCTCCTCCTCCTCCAAGACCACCCAGGTGATATGCTTCCCAGACATGAAGATTTTTTCATATTCCAAGGGCACATAACAGGATTCCAGATTCTTTAACTAAGATTGCGAGATCTTTGAATAAAGATCTTTGTTATGTTGGCTGTTCTATTCCGGTCTGGTTAGTCAAACCACCTCAGTTTGAGTAATAGAATAGCCATTTAATGTCAAAAAAAATCCACCAGCAACCGTCGCAGCCTCCATCTCCATTACAATAAGAATAGCCTCATCCTCCTGATCCTTCTCTACCGGAACACTTCTTACTCGCCTATCTCAGAGCTCTTTTTCGTCGTGAAATGCGACTGAGTAACCAACATAACCTTTGAATCATCGCGATCGTTACAACCACATATTGTCACTGATTAAGGTCAATAGTAAATTTTGTGTGGACTTTTTTTCCTTCTGATAAATAAATACTGATAAGTTTATGATATTATGTCATTTTATATAGTCTATTCTCTTCTTTTCTTGTAACTGAAGTCTATTCCCATTTTTGCTGTACACTATATATATGCATCTGCTTACAAAATTACGACATATACATGTTTTCTCAGAGATAAAAAAAATTCTTCTTTATTAGTTGAAAGACCAAATAAAAGAGTGAGTCTTCGTTATATAATGAGATGCTCTTCTGATAATCGGCTAGTCTGACTATTACTTGATCTAGTATAGTGGGCGACTGAAAAAAAAGTTTAATATTCATATCCGATACGTGCAACCACAACCAAAGATCAATGATATTTTATTTTGAAATCTTCTGTGAAGTTTACATATTGAAATGTTCTATGTACACAATTTATATGGTTGAAAGTTTTATTTTTAATGTAAATAGGACTTTGTGGGTTTGATCTATAATTTTGAACAATTAAGGTAAACTGAATCAAAAAAAAAAAAATCCACTTAGCATAAAACCCTTTTAAATAACTGTAGTGATATCTTCTTCGATGAGTCGAGCTCGAGCATCTAGTCTATTATAATAAACTAAAATTTCTGCAACGCAAAATATTCACATTTCCACAGTTTTTTTTTCAAAGATAATCAAATTGTTTATTCACTTGGAGAGGAACCATGTTATTTAAATTTATATACATTAAATTTTGACAATTTTGAAGATTAAATGTTAAAATCAACGTACAGATAAAATCCAACACACTACGCAGAAGAAAGTAATCACATTTAACTACGAAATCTCGTGCCTACATTATAATTAGCAACCGCCGCCACATCCACCACCGCAGCCTGCGACACCGCCAGCGTCTTTACTATAGCGTTTACGACGGCCTGAAGCCTTTACTGGTGGCCTCGAAGACGGCCGTGGCTTTTTCATCTCCGTTTTGGCACTTTTGGGTGGAGGAAGAGACGCTGGAACTTTCTTGCTCGTTTCAACCACTTGCGGTGAAGGCGACGACGGTCTTATCTTGGTGCAGCTGATGAAACAGCAGAACAGACGAAACATCACCATCTTTGTAGCGAAACTAAATGTGAAGGTATTCTGGATACGTGTAATTGATATATTGACCCTTCATACATATATATAAGTAGTCCAGAAATTTCATTGACTTTGGTATATTATGGTAAATTTGGTGACATGAACCGATAAACTTGCCGAGATCTGCCACATGGCCTATATATTATATGGTCTTCTTTAGCACACTATATAATAAGGCATAAACAGATTAGGCTGATTGGTATATTATTTATTTATTTTGTTGAAACAAGCTAATTGGTATATTGAAAATGTTATTGATGAAGACATTATAATTGGTGTTTTAAGTAGGGAAGAAGGGTTGAGGAGGACCACCACCTAACCATTTTGCAGAAATTGTGTAAAACAGTCCATGTTATTTATATATCGTTAATTGTGTATTATATTCGTTTGTTTAGCTAACAGCTGTATTTGATATCCATTATATATTAAATAATAAACATTGTAATAAATGCATTTACATTATAGTGTTACCTGGCAGTCTCACAACAATTTAAAAATAAATCGTTTAATGTGTTACATGTAGAGAATTTTTGAGCCAAATTCTATATAAATATGTTCACATTATGTACATTACATTTTTCGGTATAAAACTCACATGTATGGTTCAACAGGTTATACAAAGTTTCAACGAAAAAAAATAATTTACAATAAACTAATTAACATATCTTCTCTTTCATAAACATTTCAAACTTGCTTATACAACATACTTTACTATATCTTTTTAACAATAATAAACTCACATACAATTTCAGAAAGAATGATTAAGGGAAGTAATATAGAGAAATAGAAATCACTTCCAGTGATGGATTCGAAAGGATCGAGTGACGAGATCTTGCGTACAAAACCTTAAACCCTTTTCAATCGTCGATTGTTGATAGTAAGTACATAAATTTTTTTTATTGGTACGAATATATGTACACGTTTTAGAATCTTATGTTTTATTTTTATTTTTAGCAGACCTAACTGTAAAATATTTGTTCCCATTTGACCCAAAAAAAATTTTGTTCTCATAAATGATTAATGTTAAAAACTGATTGGGTGAAGATACACACAAGAAACAAAAAATAAAATACAACAAGCCCAATTATATATATATATATATATATATATATATTATTGTTAGGGATACAATTTGATTTTCGTTATATGAAAAAACGTCCACTAATATCTAGCCCTATTTTATTTTTAATTAATTTTATTTTAAGAATTTTAACTTTTATGTGTTATTATGAACAAAAATGTTTTTAATATTAATTAATAGTATCTTTATATATTTATCAACCACATTTATATAATTTTACATACACATACATATATTGACATGAACACCTCTATAACTAAATATTCATCACAAGTGAAGTATTTAATTCTTTTGGAAGTTGAAATATTCTTTTTCTTAATGTTTTCTCCAATTATCATCTGTTTAGAAACTATAATATGAAACCCATGTTCGACATTATCACTATCTAACATTCATATAACATGAAACCAAATAAATAATAATAGTTTTTGGTGAACACCGAAAAAAATAAAAAACATCAAATATTTTAACCAGACAAACAAAAATAAAGATTGATTTAGAATACTAGTATATTTTAGGATATTTGTAACCGAAAAAATCAACCTAAAGCCGAACCGATATCCAGATTAAACAGATTTATCTTCTCCTTATTAAAAAATAACGAAACTAATAATCACATCCCGTGCAAGGCGCAAATTATTAACTGGTACTACTATATTTGAAACAACCACTAGATATAATAGGGGGAAATATCAGTTCCAGCCTCAACAACTTCCATCATGAGTGTTTCATCTTAGCCTACCAATTATTTCAAATAAACTGTCTAATCTATAAAATTCAAACAAAAATACTTTAACCAAATTAATATTGGTCAACAGTCTATAAATATAAAAAATAAAATCAAAAACCTAAAAAGACTATAAATATAAAAAAACCTAAGAATATAACCAAAACTATAAATACCTTAAAACTCAAAAATATACTGAAACCCTGAGAAATCTATAAATACTCAAAACAATATATACTAAAATAACCATAAAACTTAAATATATTAAATATAAATATATATCTAGACCTGAAATATACAAGAAAAGTCAAGAAATACAAAACACCTAAGATTTTCAAATATATTGTGATACCATATAAGTAATAAAATAGACTATTCATGAATTTGATCAAGTAAAATAGCCTTATTCTTGGTCATGTATTTTCTGGATTCTTGACATAGTTTATGTTCTGGTTCCTAACATAAAAAGTAATCATATACTAAAATAACATTCTCTCCATTTCGAACTAGTTGTCATTCTAGAGAAAAAAAATTATCTCAAAATAAGTGTCGTTTAGAGTGTTGAGGCAAAATTTATTAGCTTTATATGATATTCTATTTTTCTATTGGTTTAAAAGTGGTTAGGTGTATAGGTAATTGTGTTTTTATCTTGAAAATATGTAAAATTAAATGTTTTTTTAATCAGTGTGAAAAAACCTTGAATAGCAACTACTGTGAATCGGAGAGAGTACTAAAATTATATATATATTCTATGTTTTATGTATTACATTATAATTTGTATTATAATTTTTATAGTTTGGAGTTTCAGATATAGTTTTTTTTTTGATATTTTTTGGTATGTCGGATATTTATAGTTTATCACGGATTTTTGGGTATATTTTGATTTTGTGTATTTTCAGTGTTTTTAGTGTATATTTTAATTTATTATGGATTTTCTGGTATATTTTTATTTTATTGATTTCGGTTTGAATTTGATAGTTCAAGTAGTTTTTTTTTGAAATAGTTGTTTCTTTGGGATAAAATAAACATGGTAAAACGTTCATGTTAAAAAGACAACGGATATTGTTGAGGTTGGAATTAACCATTTTCCTATACCGAAGACACTAATTGGAACCATTGTAACATATTGGTTTGTATTAGGCTACTTGGTATGATGGATGCTCTTAAAACTAGACTAGATTTTAATCCGCGCTTAGAAAGCGTGGGTATATTTTTGAAAATTTAATATAAATTTATATATAAAATAGAGTATATATATAGATACATTTAGTCGGAATCGAAGAACCGTATCAGAAAAATAAAAATAAAAACAGAAATAATACGAACCGAAACCAAATGCTAAGAACTAATAATGCAACTATATTTAAATAGTGCAAAAAATTATTATATTTTTTAAACTATTTAATCCATTTTAGTGAGAGTGCATGCATGATTTATAGACGAATTAATATATATATAACCATTATTTTCATACTCAATTCAGATCTGCAGTCGAACCAATAAATCTGGTGACCATATATAATCCAGTTTTTCTTATGTTATTCAGCAATCTATTAAAGGTTCTAGAAATTAATATGTTTCCATAAATTTTAGAAAAAAAAACTCATTAATTAAAAATTTGATAAACCCAAAAATCTGATGTCAACCCGTGAATCAACATCCATTAATCTAGTAAAAACTATAAAATCTGATATATTTTTTTTTGAAATGATTAAATCTTTCATATACTTTATAGTACTATTTGATTTTTCAGTTAAATATAATGTATTTATGTTATGTATTTTTATTAATAGATTTTGGTAAAATCTTGTACGATCAGGTGGTAAATGGGCTCGTTTAAGCCCAATACTTCTCATAAAACAGTAGGACTACATTTTTTGTGTTTTTATCTGTTTATTAAATGAATGGCATAATAATAATTACATTATCATCTTTCTTACAGTTTTTTTTAGGTTTTCTGCAACAATAAAAATTTGCCGTCAACTTTATATTTCTTGAAGTTCACTATTTCTATGAGCATTTTTGTTATTTTTGTTCAGTGAAACCAATATGTGATTTATGACATTCAAAACTCTTAAAGAATGAGACATCCAAGGACCATGATCATTTTAATTGACAAAAGTTTTCTCACTGGAATGTTTGACATGTAAGGTCAACATGAGGTCACGTTATAATCTTGAGATGTAAGGTAGAGAAGGTTACATTTTAATCTTGAGATTAATGAGATAATTTTAAAAGTCGTTGGTGGTTCGTAGGAATGATATAGTCTTGCTAATGTGTTAGTCGACCAAACAACTGTGTCTAATAAATAAGTCTATTGACTAAGGTATTCTTATAGAAAATTTCGGTTTAATGTTATGGTTAACTGTCGAAAGAAGTAAAAATTGGATATAATATGGTATAATATTAATTTGTAACGTACTGTTATAAATATATAAGGTAACACTAAAAAATACTTAAATCTAGTAAATATATCTTATATATTAAAAGAGAAGTCATAACTTCACTTCATGTGTGAAATTTTAAAATGGATCATCTAATAGAATTTATGACATTACATTATTCAATCATTAATAACATTCATTAGATTCACTAATAACATTTATTGGGCTTAGTAGAAATTTTTATTGGGCTAATGAAAATTAGATAATCTATTGGATTTATAGATATTATAATAAAATACATGTTTAAATTAAATTTATATAATTTAATATTGAAATAGTATCAGTTATTTATTTATATAATTTTGATGTTAACTTTAAAAATTATATAGTTTATTTTTAAAAATAATAAAATCATCATTTTCTAACAATAATTAATTTATACTATATAATAATTAATCATCATATTCGATATACACACGTTATATAATATATACCAATTTAGAAGTAAAAGAAATGTTTATATAAAAATAAATGAAAATAAATATCCGCACGGTTGCGCGGATTGAGATCTAGTAATAGTATTGATTCTGAAATCTAGATTATCGATAGAGTGAATTCGATAGCCATTAACGCGATATCTATTAACGTGAGACACGATCCTATAATTCACTGGCTGGCATAATAAATCTACATTACTTATTTTTTGAAAAAGGATCATCCCTTTTCTGGAAAAAAAAATTCCCATATTTTAAAATCTAAATATTTGGATCCATAAATCCCGTAGATATTTATTAGATAGTACTAA